TTTATTATCATTATATTTTTCTAACATGTATTATCTTATAATTTTTAATTTATAGTCTACACTTCCAACTTTTTTCTTTGTTTTTTTGTTTTTTGGTGCATCTCGGGTATTACTTATTAATAGCTGTTCCGTTCTCTTGTATAGGGGAGACCGGGGCTGGTTGTTACGGGGGCAAGTTGATACAGTGCCTCTAGCTCTTGAGAGCAGTCAGTGCATTAGGAAACAGTGTTCCTTGTATGTTTATTTTCCCACGCGTCCATTTCAAAGATCACTTCCTAAACGGGGGACCAGCTGGATGTATTGGTGCAGCATATCCTTCAGGTTGGATGACCAAATATAATTTTCTAAAATTCATGGAACATTTTGTGAAGACAGTCAAATGTTCTAAGGATCATCCTATTGTTCTTCTCCCTGATAACCATGAGTCGCATATCAGCTTAGATTGTATCAACTTTTGTGTGGAAAATTGTATAAATCTCTCGTACCCGCCTCACTGTTCGCACAGATTACAGCCCCTGGATAGAAGTATATACGGGCCTTTCAAGAAGTATTATAACGCAGTAGCTGACGGTTGGCTAAATAACAATCCTGGAAAAACAATGTGCATTTATGACATACCAACCTTAGTAACTCAAAGCCTTATACGAGCACTTACTCCAGAAAATATCAAGAAAGATTTTCAAGTTTCTGGCATATATCTTTTTGACCGTCACATTTTTTTCAGGTGATGATTTTCTGCCCAGCGACGTAACATATCGCCCCTTGCCAAATGAAGTATCAACAGAAAACTTGGAGACATCATCTACTAGTGAAACAGGAAAACATCAGACCCGCTGAGGACTCCAGAGATGATAAGACCTTTCAGGAAGGCATCCCCACGAAAGACCAAAGTAACCAGGAAAAAACGATATTCGGCTATTTTGACCTCTACACCCGAAAAAACAACAACTCCAGCTTGAAAGAGATGACAGAGATAAAAAGAAAACGAAAGAGAGTGGTCACGGAAAAGGCGCTAGCGCTGGTAATAAAGGCAAGAAAAAAGCGAAAAATCGGATGGAAGAAACTGAGTATCTTCTATGTGGAGACCTATTTAGT